GACAAAACTGCACAAGCACGTAGTAGTGAGCAGGCTCAGTTAGTTAGTTCAGGTACAAATAGAAGGCCAAAAATAGGGAAAATAACTCAAGCTGAAAAAGATTTTGGAAACAATAGTATCCAAAGATCACTGAGTTTTGACAGCAAAATAGACCACTTGTTGTTAATGGAAAGTAGTGAAATGAATCAGCCAGCTAATGTGAAAGGTAAAGGGAAAGATCAATATCAGGAAACCTCAACAGGTGACATGAATTTTTGTTGATGTCCGCGATTGTTGCTGAGCGTGAGAAGAACCACCCCCAAAACCGGCGAGCATACCGGGCTGGCCACCATGTCACCGCTCCACGTTCACTTCAAGGTTACTTCGCCCACCGAAGACCGGACACAGCACACCATACTCGCAAAATCCTTATAGAAACGTTAGAGAGATTGTAACCCTTTTGCCTGAGTTCAATCCGTCAAGCGACAAATCTCTTATGCCAAATCAGTTCATAAAACGCATCGATATGTTACGAACTACATATCGTTGGGACGATCAAACATTAGTATTTGCAGTGCAACAAAAATTGCAAGGATACGCAAAATATTGGGTTGATTCGCAAGAAGTGTTTCTTTCTTGGACGGAATTTGCTACAAAATTTTTGAAAGACTTTGCTTCTACAGAAAACATAGCAGACATATACATCAAAATGTCCCAAACAAAGAGACAATTTAATGAAAGTCCGCAAGAATATTACTACAAAATGATGTCTTTAGGTACTCGTGGAAACGTACCCGAAAATGCAACTGCTCGGTATATAATTAATGGCATCAATGAGCCACGCTTAAAGCAGAAAATCTCGATTAAATACACTCTCTGTAATGAACTATTAAGTGATATAAATATTTATACTGTATATAATGATGTTCAGAACTTTGACGAAAAACCAAAACCTAAATACCCGGTAAATACTAATCACGATCTTAGAGACAATTCTAAGATACAAACGCTCCATAATAAGGAAAGCGAGACGACTAGAAAAGTCAAATGCTTCAATTGCTCTAGAATAGGCCATTATTCAAACAAGTGTCCTGAACCACAACGTAAAGAGCGTTGTTCCATATGCAATTGCACTACGCATAAGGAGACCGATTGTCCTAGTAAGAAAAACAATGCCGAGAATAGACCAACGGTTAACAAAATTGAAAGTACTTGCGAAAAAAGAGATGAGCTTGCGTTGTAAAAGTAATTTAAAAACCGACGCGATCATTTATAGATCCTGGTAGTGCATACACTCTAATTCGGGAGACATTTGCAAAAGATTTTAAAAATAAAATATTGCGTTGTTCTGTAACTTTGAGTGGTTTCGCCGATGGAAAATTTATTTGCACCTCTAAAATAAATGCTGTTGTAGAATTTGATAATAACGAATTTATAACCGATTTGTTGATCGTGGATGACGGAAAAATACCCGAAAATATTTTGCTGGGTCGTGATGTATTGTGCCGTGAAGGTAAACGTCTTATCATAGAGGGAGACAAATGTCATATAGAAGATCTGCAAACATCGGTAGAAATACCGTCGGATGCACGCAAACAACTTAAAGATCTACTCTCAACGTACTGTGGCGTTTTTGTAGAAAGTATGTCTGAACTAGGCAAATGTGTTATCAACAAAATGAGTATTAAAGTAAACACTGACGTACCTATTCGGGCAAAACCATATCGGATAGCATTTGCCAAACGCAAAATCGTTTCGGACATTGTTCTTGATTTGCTTAAAAATGACATCATACGTCCTTCGTCATCACCGTATGCCTTACCCGTGGTTCTGGTAGAAAAGAAAAATGGTAAGCATCGACTCTGATGATAATCGTAGATAATCGTGGACTAAACAAAATCACTATTAAAAATCCTTACCCTATGCCAAATATGGAGGAGCAGTTTGCTCAGCTTTCAGGTAACATATTCTTTACGACACTTGATCTTCGCATGGGCTATCACCAAATAGAAATTGAAGAGTCCTCAAAACAATATACAGCTTTCGTTACTACGGATGGTCATTTAGAATACAACAGAATGCCATTTGGAGTGGTTAATGCCCCCGGACTTTTTCAAGCGACAATGGATAAGATTGCGTCGACGATGGGCCGTGGTGAAGTTTTAATTTATCTCGATGATGTTATTATACCCAGCAAAAGTATAGAAGAGGGTATAGAACGGTTAGAAAAATTTCTCTGTTTGTTAAAAGAGAACAATTTGACGCTAAGAAAGTCCAAATGCAAATTTCTTAAAACGGAACTAATACACCTAGGGCACGTTATTGATCAAAATGGAATAGCACCAGGTAATTAAAAACAAGCTGCAATTAAAAATTTTAAACAGCCAACCAACGTAACAGAAGTACGACGCTTCTTGGGTTTGACTGCATTTTTCCGCAAATTTGTTCAGGATTACTCAATCATCTCAAAACCAATCACGATGTTGCTACGAAAATCAGAACAAGAGTTCGTATGGGGTGTTGAGCAGAAAAATGCATTTGACAAACTTATAAATATGCTATGTAGCGGTCCAGTTCTAGCTCTGTACGACAGTAACGCTGAACATGAAGTGCATACCGATGTAAGTAGTGTTGGTCTAAATGGCGTGTGTAGAATGCTGCTATTTCAAATCACGAGGAGGTAAACGCGAGTGTACTCTGCACTATGACGACGTTGAACCGATACCTTTCCGTTTGATTCACATCGATCACCTCGGACGTTTCATTAAAAGTAAAAGAGGTAATAGCTATGTTTTGGCTATTTCAGATGCTTTCTCGAAATTTCTGATTGTGAAAGCTGTACGTAATACAAAAACAACTCCTGTAATCGCCGTTTTAAACGAGATGTCCAGCTATTTCGGGTTACCTGCAAAGATTGTTACTGATAGCGGTACATCGTTTACATCCACTCAATTTGAGGAGTATTGTGACAACAATAATATTCAACATGTCAAAACAGCTGTACGAACGCCGCGAGCTAACGGACAAGTTGAGAGAGCTAACCAGATAATCCTATCATATCTGCGAACATCGAACAAAGATCCAAACAATTGGGATCTGAACTTACGGAATTTACAATGGGCAGTGAATTCACAAAAAAACGCAACTTCTGGTTTCAGCCCAAACGAACTAGTGTTCGACTTCCAAGTGCGCGATGTCCTCCAAAATCGATTGTTAGCTGCCGTACATGCCGACGCGGAAAACCCATTATCAACCATTACAATCAACGAGAAACGAAACCCAGCCGTCAAGAATATTGCTGAGGAGCGTGCAAAGTGGAAGCACCGTTTCGACGAAAAGCATGCCGAACCTTTCCTGTACAATGTTGGTGATCTCGTAGTGCTTGAAAACGAACCGTCAGCCACAGGCGAGTCACGAAAATTGGAGCCGAAATATCGAGGTCCATATATCGTTGTCAATGTACTTGGAAATGACCGATACCAAATAAAAGATATCCTAGGTATCCAACTGGCTAAAAGGAAATTCAATTCTACGTTCGCGACAGACCGAATGAAACCGTGGTGCTACAATTCTCCGAAGCTTGATGCTTGTGAAATCGAGGACGATTTATAGCAGGATTGGCCGAATTGTCACCCTTAATAAAACGATTTCACGTTTATGTTTTTTCCAAACACCTTTATATGTCAAACATGACAGTTGAATCGCACCTAAGTTCAGTGTGCTAATGAGTTTTTAAGAAAGCATAACAACGCGAGTTTTTCTCTAATTAAAAGTAAAAATGTAAATTTTTTAATAAACGAAAATAAAAGCCGTCTTTGACACTAGTATAGAAGAGTAAAGCAGAAATCCATCCCGCCTATTTTAGGTAATTTAATAGGTCTTTCATCTTCACCGGTGAGCAGTCTTATAAACTATCATAGAAGTATTTTCCGAAGAACCTATATCTTCTGGACGCTAAAGCAGAGCATTCACAGAGAAAATGTATTACGGTTTTTATCTTCTGCGTGTTTCTACAACTTCTGCAGTGAGGATTATGGGGAATGCGCAGATTCTCTGCATGAGTTCTACACACCAATGACCAGTAAGAACTACAGTAACCCTTGCAGTGTTCACGTGATCTCTTTTGATGAGTTCCGAGAATTTATTTTTATCATAGGTGGGCCATATTAACCTGGAAGTCGCACATGTCCTAAGAAAGTAGAGGAGGGTACTTCTTTTAATGGTTTCTAAGGTACTAATATAAACCGGTGCCGCCAGTGACGCATCCAGGGAGGCATCAGAGCGGGTTAAACTGTCAGCTTTCTCGTTCCCTACGATGTTCCGACAAGCTTCTCTAATTGGTAGGATTTCAGCTAAAAAACTGTAGCCCCATTAGGTAGTCTAAGAAAATTATTGATGTTTTCAGATGGTACGAAGATTCCTACTCCACAGTTCATTTTCGAGCTATCTGTATATATTGAGATATCGTAATTTACTTCGAAATTTTTCCTCTTTCATTGATTTCTTAAAGGGAATATTGTCTGAAAATTTCTTTCGAAGTCTATGCACGGATTCAGATAATCCGATGTCATCCTATACTGACTGTACCTAGAATCCGACGATGTCCATATGTTCGTTCCGACCAGACGCCTGTTGGTTTTAGTCTAACAGCGCTGCTGCAAACCATTTTTTTGATGTGGAAATCGATAGGTAGCAAGTCTAGCATCACGTATAGAGCGTCCAAGGGAGTTGTCCTAAAAGCTGCTGTGATATCTAGACATGCCGTCTTCTGAATTCTGTTAAGTTTATCGATATCATAGCTTTTATTTAGAGCCGGCCAGCAAACGACAGCGCCATACGTGAGAATTGGACGTACAATAGCCGTGTATATCCAGTGGGTAATATTGGGACGAATTCCCCATTTTTTGCCTCGCATCGACAGGTGATACTAGGGTAATTATAATGTTTTTCAATTTCACTCCGTGGTAATTGTATTTAATAAATTTATTTATAGGAACATCCAACTATAAGAATATGCTGTAGATGATCGTGCTATGGAATGATTCCAGATAAGTTTTATTATTTATTATTTCGATGTTAAATTTAATGCAATTCATTTCTTTCAGGTAATTTGCCAACGATAACTCAGTCATTATATGTAGATTTGGAAATTTGTACATTTCCATCATTACAAGTGAGAATATTTGAAATACAAAACTTTAGTAATTACATGTTAAAAAGAAATTGTAGTATGGATTCGCAGGAAAAATTGGTAGTTTAATATATATTAAATCACAGGTTAAAGAGAAATTGAGGTACGGTTTCGCATGTTAAATTGGTAGTTTAATATATATTAAATTCTTTTATAAAAAAAAATATAAAATGCTTTTATTAATTTTAAATTAAATACAATTAAAATAAGAAATCATTTTTAAAACCCATATTACAAATTTTTGAAATATAATGTATTTAAATATTGAATTTATATATATGTATATGTTAAATATATTTATGAGTTTAAGTATAAGTTTAAGCGAACCCAAACCCTTCAGAACATTCGTGTATTGCTTTCATCAAAGAATTGCGTAGTTTTTCATACGATTTGTACATTGGAAGATCTAATTGATTAAAACTATAATAGAAGGTATTAAAATATTTTCTTTAGTGATTTGGGTATGCATTTACCATGTATGTGCACAAGGTAGTCTATCGGTTGATCTATCGTCACGATGAATTTGAAATTTTTGTATACCATTCATACCTTCCAGAGAGCTAAAGCCTTGCAACGGTACTTTTGATGTTCCTGTCACAAATTGTAAAAATTTAGCTCTGTCAGCTTGATCAAAACTTCGAAGCGATCGCCAAAACCATTGAATCTATAATAGAAAAATTTGAATTATTTTTTACATGTCTTCAGACTTTCACCATATAATGAAATTTTATTTAAATTTTCTTTTCTCACTTGTATAGATTTCGAACAATATTTATGATATTCAGTATTAGCTTTCAAATCTTCAATATCAATATCTGGTAAACCTGATATAAGTAACTCAAGTTCCTGTTCGTTAAAAATGGAAATCAGGTGTTTAGGAATAATGTCATAGAAGCCTTCAAGAAACGCATCCAATCTAAATAAAATGTATTAACTTTAATTTTAATATTTATAAAGTTAGAATTACTGTTGTCGAATTGAATCGCTCATCTTAAGTTGACAAACCAATTGTACATATTCAAATTTATTTTCTTCTGTCACAGCTATATTACGCCCATTGGGAATCAAATCACGAACTTGTGTGACACCAAATTCCTGGACTTCTGTTGAAAATGTCAACTCATATCCTAACGTTGATATATTGTGCTGCATTAAATAATCAAGGCCCTTGTAAAAATCATAGTCCTGTGATTCCATATCTGTATACTTTATTTGTTTACCAAGAATATGCTTATAAAATGATCTTGTAAAGTAGCACTCTAATAATTTATTATCATGAATTGCTTTTGCTATATAATATATTAAAATTAATAAAATATTTGATTTAAATAAATAAATTAAATTCTTCATCATATTTTCCTTACCAATAACACGTCCAACAAATTTAAAATAACTTAAGTGATTTGGATTTGCATGACTTGAGGGATTGATCATGTATGTGACGCGGTCACCAGGAGAAACACAAAATAATGCATACATTGGGTTGAATATCTCTCTTGAAATAATCACATACCATTCTCGTAGTAAACCTCCAGCATCCTGTCCTTCTTCATCTGTATATAAACATTAAATTATTAACTTTAATTTTTGGACCTTATTTACGTTACTAAATTAGCAAAACCTACACAATTCTATTTCAAACACAATAAAAGTTACTTTGAAATAATTATAATTTAGTTTTAATTTGTTAATACAATATTTTTTGAATATAAAGTTGAAAGTATCCTATAACTTAGTAATATGTTAATAACGGTTTTTTGTAACAAAATCACTTACTTCTTTATACCGATAAAAAAAAGTAAGATGATTTTTTTAGTAAAAGATGCAAACCGCATGTTTATAAAGCAGATATATACAGTGACGAACAAAATTATTGGCACAGCAAGCAAATTGAACTTTAGCACTATTTTTATCCTGTTAATGATGCGATTTTTAATAAACAAAAAGTTTATTTAGATAAAATGCTTAATTTGCTTTTAAATTCATTTTATTTCATTTTATTTTCTCTTATATTTAATTTTTTAAAATTAAAAAACCAAAAAAAGAAGTAAATTTGGCTGAACAAAATTATTGGCACAGCTAACGTAAAAATTAAAAAACAGATTAAAAAGAAATATTTTCGATAACAATTAATATTTAGTGGCCAAGCTTTTCTATTTAATAATAACTATTATTAGTTTTGGAATCGAAGAAATCAATTTTTGTGTGGTTTTTGGTCCAAAATTTTGCCACTCTTCAGCAGTGCCACCTTCAGTTCTGCCATTGTTGTTATAATGGATTTCTTTGGACGTCTTATAAAACTAAATAATAAATTTTTTTTTTTTTTTTATAAAAATATTATTATTTAATAACTGACCAATTAGCCCGTGAAATAATTATTTTCAAAAAAATTTCTTTTGGTCATTAAAACATTTAATTATTTCAAATTTCAATTAAATATTATTTCAAATTTCCTTTAAAATATGCACCTTCTGAAACGATACACATATGCCAACGCTTAACCCAATATTCCATACACTTATCGTAGGCCCGTGCAGGTATGGCTTTTAGTTCCTTCAGCGAATTCTCTTTTACCGATTCAATCGACTCAAAACGCTTACCACGAAGGGGCAATTTGAGTGTGCATGGAGAATTTTGTGGTGAAGAATCTAATTGTTGGCTTTCCACAAATCTGGTCTTTTCTTACGGATGGACTCACGCAAATGCCGCATAACGTCGAAGTGATATTCTTTATTGATGGTATGACCCTCTGGCAAAAATTCGTAATGAACAACATAGCGGTAGTCGAAAAAACCAGTGAGCATAACTTTGATTTTCGAGCGACTTTTGCGCGGTTTTTTGGGTTTTGGCTCGTTTTCGAAGCGCCATTCGCTCGATAGGTGACTGATTTCGACGTCGTACTCATAAACTCATGTCTCATCACCTGTTATGATGCGCTTCATGAATGTAGAGTCGTTTCCATGCTCAAAAATCATTTCTTCACACACGTTCTTTCGGTATTCTTTTTGTAAAAAATCAAGTTGTTTCGGTACAGTACAAGTCGAGCTGCAACGCGTGTCATGCCCAATATATCATGTAGAATGTGGTGAACGGATCCATTTGAGATGTTTGAGGCACGAGCAATCTCCCTTTCAGTCATACGACGATCTTCCAGCACAATTTTCTTAATTTTTGCCACGTTTTCTTCGGTATTTGATGTTGATGAACGTCCAGAACGAGGCAAATCTTCGATCACTTCACGACCCTCTTTGAATGATTTATACCACTCGTTTGCCTGTTTTAGAGATAAAAGAGTCCCCGAAAGCTTTCTGCACCATTTTTAATGCTTCAACACAAGAAATTTCGTTCAAAACACAAAATTTCAATCAAACTTGTTGTTCAACTGAATTTTCCATAGTAAAAATCGCTAAATACACTTGAGGTAGTTCACATTAACAGCTGCTGTAAACAAACTAATTGACAGATTGCGCTCAAATTTGTACCGTATGTGAAGAAAGAGTGTACCAACATAACACAAGAAAAAATTTTGAAAAAGGTCTATTACTTAAGGAGTAGTTAACAAAATCCGGGTACTTATTGAGCAGAAGGTACAAAGCTTTGAGAACAAAGCACTACAGGCTTTATGGACAACGCGGTCCTGTATAGGCAGAATTTAGGCCTCAACCCGAAGATGATATTTTGGATATACCAGGCAGTAGTACGTCCTATCATGACATATGGTTGCCTAGTCTGCTGACAAAAGGTCACACAGACTGGATCTATTACTGCTTACACGACACTCAGGGACTCGCGTGTCTCTTAATGACTGGTGCCATGAGGACTAATCCAATTGTAGCATTTGAGGCAATACTTGGGTTGACACCTCTGCACATTCACATTCAATTTACGGTTGCGCTTAGTGCACTCCGATTATAACTCTACATGAGTAAGTTTTGTCCTGATTATGGTCATGGAATAATATTAAAAACATTTGGAGCACACAAAATTCTTCAGTGCGATGGAGTCTACATAACAAAACTCTATCGTTTTGGCAGAAAATTTAATGGGCACATGGCAGAGCGCCTTTCAAACTGAAATCCATGCATTCAACTTATGCTCGAGAATTGTTATTTACTCTGACAACCACGCTGCTCTAAAAGCTCTGTCTTCTTAGACTTTCAAGTCAAAACAGGTATTATGAGCTCTTACAGGTACTTGCAACTCGAAATAAGGTTAGCCTTTACTGGGTTTCAGGTCATAGGGGAGTTTTGGGAAATGAACAAGCTGATGGGCTTGCCAGAACTGCATGAAGAACTGCTTTTACAGGTCTTCAACCCTTTTGTGGGATAAACTGGGCCAGTACAAAACATATTATGAAGGAAAAGGAAAATCACATGCGGCTGAAGTACTAGAAAGTTTTCCCAGAGCTTAGATAAATCAAAGCACTGATCAAACCGTATTTCTATAAAAACATCTTTAAGTTCTCAAAATGTCATTTAAGTTTGGTAACGGGTTTTTTTACAGGTCATTATGGGCTCAAATATAACCTTCATAAACTGCAATTATCTGCTAAATCGGAGTGCAGATTATGCCTCGAAGATGCGGAAACTACAATGCACATTCTTTGTGAGTGTCCACCTTTATAAACGCACAGAAGAAACCTGTTTGATAAAGAATTTCTGTCACCAGAGCAGATTAAGAACTCTTCTCTAGATTTAGTTCTAGACTTTATTCACAAAGCTTTAAGGAGCTTTGAGTAATCAATAGTGAAACTGGTACAATAGGACTCTTCTGGTCGCAGTACCAGAAGTTAAGTTTATCCACATTTTTATTTAATTAATTAGGATCAATATTGTAGTATTGTAATTGCAACTATTTTTCTTCTTTTTGTAAGTTTCTTTGATTACTATTGTTTTAAATAAGGCTTTGTTGTGTAACCAACTATCAACAATCTATATCCACGTGTTTTTGGTTTTTTGATGAATTCAAGTCGAATCTTTGAAATGAAACATATTTTTTTTTATGAAACATATCTATTATCTTAATATTATTTAAATTTATGAATTTTTAATACTTACCCTCAAAGACCACATAAAATCGGTTTTTCCATTCTTCTGGTCCCAGCCGGTATAGCACACGAAAGGAATCCTCAAATACTGTTACTCTTCGTACACTTACTGTATTTTCCTCTCTACGAACTCCTTCATCAATTCTTTCTAATTCTGTTTGAAAAAATTTTCGTTTTACATCAAAATCTAATATACGAGTATGATCTACAAGAACTGCAAAAGGCCCGTCAGAAAGATGTGTTGAAGTCTGACGTAAAATTTGATTAAGCACTTTACGATGCTTTTCCGCGAATGATAAGAATTTTTGCCGATCTAGTTTTAATTGTAAGTCAAGCATATTGTCCTCATTTTCAGTATCAATTCCATCATTTTTTTCTAAATTTTGCAGTCCATTACCTCTATCACCTATAATGACATATTTAATTATTTACATTAAGTAAAAATCTAAGAACATACTATTATAATAATTGTATTAAGAAATAATTTCAATTTCTTTAAAAATTTGTAATTAAACTTAAATGATTAAAAATTTTCTTTCAAATATATATAAAAAGAAGAAAGAACATTATTCCTTATATTATCATTGTGTACTGCATTTACATAATACTGAATTTCAAAAAATAAAATACAGGTGAAATTTACATTTTCATTCAAGCTTTTATTTTGTCAAGCACATGATTTATAAAATAGTCATTTATCTTCACTTCAATTTCATCCTGTATTAATGAATTCAGTAGAGGATGGGAAGATGTGCCGATATATAGGTATTTGTACGAAAGTTGGTTTTTTATATAAAAAAATTTTAAAATCCAGCAAATTCTGTTCAATTTTAATAGCATTTAATATATTATATTAATTTCTAGGCCGACCACTGTCACATGGAACTATTTTTGAAGGATTTGTACGACGATGTGATTTGCCTACTTTCTCAACAGTCTTCTCTCCACTTAAAAATTCAGCTCAGTTTTCATCCCAGCCTTCTTTGGCATCAACAAAGTTGATTAATGGTTACTCTCATTATCAATCAATCGACATCGATTTCGTGATAAGAAATGTCTCCCTTGTCTAGTTTACCTACTCGTCAATAATCCTTTAGCAAGTGAATTTAATTGGGTTACACAATTTTACGACTTTCAAGTGGTAAATATGTTAAATAATGAAAATTTAAAAAATTTACTTCATGAAATTATCCCAGAAATTGTTATTTCTCAACAAGAAATGGATATGTGGCTCACCGAATTTTTTATAGAAAATGTGTCTCTTGCTGAAAAACGTGACACAGTGTCAGTCTCTGAAACTGAGGACAGTGTAATTACAGTTTAACGCATAAATGACGTGGCAATAAATGCACTTAACACATGCATAAATTCCTTACGTTTTACAAAAGTTGTAATACTAAAAGCATCTTAATTAAATTAAAAAGTAAGCTGAAATAACAAGTTATTATTATAAAGTATGACTGCAATTATGTTGTTATAAATAAAAATAAGTATTCATATTATTTTCTAATAAACTTTGTGTAAATGTCTTTTTATTTGATTTAGAAATTTTAGATGCACTATATAAACTAAACTCGATTATTGCAACACCTTCGAATTCTGTTAGTTGCATTAATCGAAGTCATACTGTACTTCGTTTTACGTCTGTAAGCGCAATGAAACGCAGTGTTTACTGTTCAAATAGTATTCGGTTGACACAGTTTACCTATAAAATTATAAAAAAAATCGAATATATAACTACTTTTGTCTTCAAGGAAAGTAATAAAATAACGAGAACCACCAATCGAAGTCTCGCTCATAGTGCCACACACATTACTATGTATAAAATCAAATACATATTCGGAATGAGAACTTTCCATAGCTGAAACGCATCATACAAATTTTACTTTTTTTACTTAAATTTTTATTAGCATATTATTTACTTTTGTGCTATATAAACTTTTATTGTTCACTACAAAAATCAAATAATTATATTAGTTACGGTATCGACCGTTAATTCTTTGCTTTGCTTTCTGTGACTAATATACCAGAGCATTTATTTTTGTTTTCAAGCAAAAACAATTTTTGTGTGTACTACAATTTTAATATTATCAAAAAATAAATAAAATCCAGACTTCATCGCTTTATATACTAAAATATGTTATATGTTAAAATATTCAAATTAAACTATTTATGGCTCATATTTTTTACCTGTACGAAATCATATTAGGAGGATAAATTTAGAACTAGGCCTGAACTTATGTTTAATCCCTTTTCGAAGCTGTGGTGAATATAAAATTAGTCAACAAAAATCTACAGAAAATTGCAACAGGATCGAAAATCAATAAACACTATATGAACAGCAATCACATCAACCGACTGCTGCCAGTGAATTACAAAAAAAAATCCCATAAAGTTGATGCAGGATAATGATTAATTATTTTATATATATTTTGTATATATTAATTTAAATAACTGCACTTTAATTAAATACGGATAGACAATAGGCAAAATTCGAAAAGTCCTAAGCAAATTTAATAAATGAGATTGAAGTAGAAGATTACATGAACTTCGGTGTATATTTAATAATTATTATAGCATAAGTGACACTTAAACATGCCTGCGTTGTACACATAACTAAATTCTCATTCCTAATACTACATGTATTATTTTATATAAAATGTGGTATATTGCTTATTATTATAGTACAATACTGGCTAGCAATATTCAATATATTATTGTGCATTCGTAATAAAAATATTTTTCCTTAAAATGTAAAAGTAGTATAGATAATGAAAGAAAGAAAATAACTTGATTTAACTAACTTCATAGTTGTCAGCTTAATGATCGTTAATTGGATTAATGAACTATACCAAAAAAAAAAAACAGCTTAGACAAAAGAAATATTTGTTGGATTGTACAGATGTGTCTGTTAGTATACAGCATTAAAGTAAAAAGCTCATAAGCAATATCTTGGCATCCTTATAAATACATTAGAAAAAATATAAGAACTCAAAGTATTATATAACATATAACAAGCTCACAGAAACCTATGATAATTTACCAAAAGCTTTTTTTGATAGATTAAGTATTAATTACCTAAAGTTTAACTACATACAACATAAAACACCGCATTCTATACAAATACTAACACGATTATCTATTGACAAACTATTAAAGTAACAAGACCTACAACCTTTTCAAGCTATAAATAAAGCAAATTAAAGTTTCGAAACACATTGTCACATGGAAAAAACACCAAACATGAAGCAAACTACAGTATAATTTTAAAATATAGTTGCCGAACTCATCCGTGAATTAAATCAAGGCTGATGAGCTAATATTTTCTGTAGACGTAATGAATATTCATGCAGTAAAGTTTATAAAAAACTAAATTAAGAGGAAATGTAAGGAACCTTATTACAATTCAAAACATGGTCACAAAAATATCTATAATTTTGTAATAACATGTGACGGGTGAATCAAGTTAGGTGGTACGTGCAATAAAAAAAATAATATAAAGCAGAATAAAGAGCTCAAATATTTGACAAAACCACTGATTCCCGATAGTGCGCATCACTAGACCTGACAGTGTTCAAAAGTTGCATACAGAATATCCATTAATGTTTTTAGTTCGCGCGTCGTTCCTAAAATTTAGAAAAAACTGACTAAATTGAAAATTAATATGGTAAAAATTGTAATAGTTGAAAATATTATAAATATTTAATTTATTATAACAATTATAAATGATGTAAGTAGGACGTAAACTGAGTAAAACTAACATTTACCCTTTACGCTATTTTTGTAACGTTGACAATTACCAATTATGGCTGGTATTAGTGCTTGTAAATATTTGAGTATCTGTTGTTTCACTTTTCACTTTAATATTGTATTTTAATCAGTCTAACGTAGACGTCACTTCCTTAGGTTGCCGTGTTTGTGTTTCTAAGCGCAGTTTTATTCTGTATAAGTTTCCTAGAACCGGTTTTAATAAGCGAGTATTTTAATATAATTAGTATTATTTGGAAGTGTATTACTATTGAAATGGATGTCCTGAATAAGTTAATACCTAGGAAGAAATTTAAATGTCCTATATTTGATCATTCAAGAGATTTATTATCTAACAAGCTACCGAATTATAAGGATGTTCGCAGTTGTTGCTATCAAGAGCGTTACAACTTATTCTTTAAAATAAACAATAAAATTCATAATTCATAATTAAAAACGCCAAAGTCACCAAAGTATTGCAAAAAAAAGCTTGCAATTTGTATAAAAAATACATTTATTTTGACAGTGACTGAATGTAAGGTGTCTGATTATTAATACATACTATACTTTATACTATAAGTTAAGATAGTCATACATTTGTGGTAAAGTTAGATTTTATAAACAGGGTTTTTAAGGTTTTGGGCATTCCTACCTGTAAGTGTGTTATTGTTATCTTACATTGCTGCGCGTAAGAATGTTATTCTAACATGGAAATTCCTGTTCAGTAACTTAGATTTATGTTTCTGCGGATAGAATATGATTTGGAGAAAATTGATTAAAGAGATTTAAAAGAAACACTTCATTTTTTAAATAAATGGAACGGAATAGCTGTGATGAACAAAGAATACAATGTGAAATCCCAAAGTAAAATTAAAAATGTGGAACCTCGAAAAAAAAGAGTCAATGTCCACAAGGATCATGTCTTTTATTTTCTTATTATTTATTTTTTACTTTTGTTTAAATTGAGAGAAACATTTTTTAGATCAACTTATCTTGGTAATGTTTTTCTTTCATCGAGCTAAATAAAAGCAAACAGTATGAAATGTTATATTTCGTGAAAAAGTTTGTACCTTGATAAATTAGAAGTTTTTGGATGCGACGTTGAAAATTTGTTCAAAAGGTCAGATTTAATCAGTTCTTTCTAAATTTTATTGATGATGCGAGATCTGAAAATTTTATTGGATGTTTTTTATTTGTTTGTATTTTACTTTTCTATTTTTGTTTTTCTTCGGTTTGAACCACATGAAGTGCGCGCAAAATAAATCAATCCGCAACTTTTAATATTTTTTTATTAAGAAATGCAATACAGTGTTCACAAATTTTAATTAAATCAATTGAGACAGTGACTCTAAATAAAAATTTAATAAAATTGTGCCCGATTTTAAAGGTAAGTGAAACTTTTATTAAATTAAAACATTTGTTTTTTGTGAAAAAAATAGTTTAAATTTGCAAAATAAATTTATTTTGAATAAAGACATTTCGAGTTTACTGAAGGTTTCTCAACGAGAACAATCAGAATTTATGAGCGAAATCCATAACGCTAAAATCGATATTCCACCTAATGATATTAAATCGTGCAGAAAATAAGAATAGAACGAAGTTAAAGGTAATAAAAGACCTAAAAACAGTTCTGAAAAAATGAAAAAACCAAAGCAACAAAAACTGAACTACTGGCTCAGTAATTCGGATAGATTTGATGGACTCGTAGTGGAAGAAAAATAAGATCAACCAGCTAAACAAGTGGAAAAACCCTTAAATCACCTCCAATTTTTGTAGATAAAGTTGAGGACGTCCGCCCACTTTTAAATCTGCTTAACGAAATTGCGAACAATAAATATGAAATAAGAGTAATTTCATATACTCGTGTTCGTATACAGCCCGGTACACCGAACAAGAACACGAAGAACACGAGCAAGAACACGAAATTCTATACATTATAGCGCAACAATGTAAACAAAAACAAACAATAAATTATGTTATGTATTTTTGAAAGCGCTTATGCACAAATTATTTTATATTAATTAATGTAATATGTAATGCGATCGCACACGGAAGAACCACCGCAATGCAAGTAGAATATTTGGTCATAGCAAGTATGCAATTGCTATTTGACACTTTTCTTTTCTGTGCTACTATTCTGCACATGTCGATATGACACACTTGAATGTGTCATAATATTTTCTAAGCATTGACGTGGGTCAACCTTTTTAGTGCCGCCGCAATTAAAATTATTAGGAAAAATAATTGTAAATTATAGTAAAATATTTTGTATAAATAGTTTAAAAATTCATTAATAAAATTCAGATTTGAAACTGAGCTCGAACAGCTGAAACCAAATTCTCACTTTTAGTTTGAATCGACATTCGCGGATGCATACTAATGAGCAGATTTCTTCCTGCTTAATTTGAAAAAGAAGAAATAAATAATATCGGAAAAAAAATATGATTTCTAAAAATATTCCTGTATTAATCCAGAACTAAAAAAATAATAAATTTGTATACCAAACAAATTTATTATTACACTTCTCCAAAAGTCTACATGAAGAATCTAGTAATGTATACTGGGGAGAACACAAAAAAACTGTAGCATAAACGGAATGCTAGAAAAATATAGCATGGTACTAGTTTCCTGAAGACAAGAGAAAACTTAACAAAATTACTAAAGATCTAAAGACTCTGCTGAAACGACAGAGGGAACAAAAT